CCTATTCCTCTATCTCCTCTCGATCTCTGTATGTTTTTTGGTGTTTTCTGGTGTAGAATTTAGTTGCAGCAAAAAAATTCTATGTTGAAGGAGATGGGTAACAACTGGCCAATTAGAGAGAATCAACTATGTAGTTATGTATAGTTATATATAAGATATGTAACTTTTTTTTAATGTACAGTGATGTTGATGGTTGTTTCAGTTGAAAAATTTACACATGTGAATTTTGGATACATATTGTGGAAAGTTGACTTGTAATAACAAGATTCAAATTATGATTTTTTTTTTGTTTATTTGTGAATGTTGATTGATTATTTCATAAATAATAGTTTTTTTTTAAAATTTGTTTAATACGACTGAGCTACATTATATAATTGAGAATATACAATTTTAAGTAGAAAATATAAAAAAACGATATATGAAGAAAGGATATGACTATAGTTGACTATAGTCATATTCGAAATAGTATGTAAACTTTTCGGGAAAAAAAATCAGAAATTTTTAAGAAAATAAAATGTATATTTTATTATTTTTAATAAAAAAATTATTAAAAAATAAAACGAAAATGCTATATGCACTTGGTGGAAATGTTAATGCAGTTAGGGCAAAAATTGTATGTAAGGGGCATCATAGTCTTTTTGCCTATTAGAAAGAAAGAATTTTAGGGGTGGACCTATCCCTATATATTTTCCATATTATGGGTGTATATCAACACATCCATAATCTTAAATCACTATGTTAAATTTAGGGGGCGGAAGTAACCCTTTTGACAAAATGTCAATATTTTCAGAAGTTGATAACAAATTCAAACTTTGTTAATGATATGGAAATTTGGCATATACATCCTAATTTATATACTTGAAATATTTTGTTTGATCAGCATATGCACGCGAAGTTCGTTCAGCCACCATCGACCCAACACTAGAGGGGAAAATTGCTCGTTTGGCCCACTTACGGTCACTTTTCGACGCGACCAATACGTTTATCGAGAGCAATCCAAGCGTTTGATCGATCTACCGGCTCCAAATTGCTCCCTAACCGGGTCCCACGCAATTCGTGCGTGTGCTCGATGTTGAGAGATGTATAAAATCTATGTAATGATTGAAAAATAAAACCGAGAAACATACAGTCAAAAAGTAGACTACCGGTGCATTTTTATTTCTACGCACGAAACAAAACAAAGGAATAAAAATGAAAGTGAAATTGGATACGTCGAAGTTGTGCTTTACATATTGATTTATCATATGCGAGAACTAAGGTCAATTTAAGAAAAAAAAATCTCCACGTTGTTTGTAATTACCGAAACCCCCTAATGTTTGTTGTTGTTGTCATACAAAGTTCCCCTTTACGGTGTGAAATTTGACGGATTTTTTTATTTCATGTACTATCACTCAGCAAATACCGATTTTACCCTCATGACTAATTGTTGTAATATCATCTTAGTTTTTGTGGAGTTTATGTTTCTTTATTAGGTAAATTACAAAAAACCCCCTGAACTTAGCCTGAATTATAAAAAACATCCCCACATATTCGTAATTACTAAAACTCTCCGACGTTTGTTTTCGTCTTACACCTGCCCCTTATGGTGGGATTTTTCATGGAATCTTTTTGAGTCGAGGGATTATTTTCGAAAAATGCCGATTCTACCCCTGTAGACGTGGCATTTGTTTATGCTACTTTTTTAAAACAAAAATTATCCTTGAGGACCTTTACACGGAATTTTTATTCTTCTTAAATAACACACTCACAACTCTTTTTACTATTATGGATAGATGGGGTGTTTTCGTAATTTAGCCTAAGTTCAAGGAATTTTCATAATTTACCATTTATTCTTTAAGTTGACTGACCTTACATATAATATTCAATTGATTTGGCTGCCACGTATCCCTTGTTTTAATTAGTTGTTTTATTTTATTTTATATCGACCTAAAAACAGTTGGCAAGAAATTTGAACTTGGGTTAATTTACACTTGTTCTCTTACTCCAACCGCTAGACCACCCACTACATGGCCAATTAAAGAAAATATTGATATATTGGGAATTGATATGATACATTTGAATAAAAAAAAAAGAGTTTTAATATTGTACAATTAAAGAGTTTCTAAAAAAAAAGAATAAAAAAAAGAGAGCTAATATAGTACAAGATATATAAATAGGGGGCTATATTGTTATTTAATATTGTTAGTACCTAACAAAATATTTAAAAGGGTTAATGGCATTTTGCACCCCAAACTTTGGTGAGTTTCGCACATTACCCCCTAGACTAAAAAAAAAGTTGCACGATGCCCCCCAAACTCTATTATTTGGAGCACCAATCACGAAATTGACTATTTCCGGCCAAAACTTCTCCGGAAACTCGAGTGTAGTCGGAGCTCTGATCAATTAGCATACTACACATTAGCTTTTGCGGTGGATCGTCGGAGCTTCGATTAGCTGGCTAAGCATTAGTTTTTTTTTTTTTTTGGTAAAAGGAAACCGCGGCCAACCATATAGATGCACTGGATAAACCTACACTCTCGTATGATAGCTTGCAAACCATATGAGAGACGTGGACCACATTAAGCTAACCATGTGACGCAACCTTATGCGTGGCTAAGCATTAGTTGACTTCAACATTTGTTAAGTAAATCGGAGCTCCGATAACATTTGTTGGCTAAGCATTAGTTGAAATTCATATTTCTCACTCGATTCCATCTTTTATTATCTCCGTACACAACTTGTGCAACACATCTTCACCCAGAATGTATCACGTTCCTGGATTTTTCTCTCAATTTGGTAAGCACACGGAAGTCCATGGGTAACACTAAGAACGTGGGTAGAGCTAGCCGAATCTTGTACAACTGGTTTACTGAGCTCATCATCCAACAAATCTAATGCCTTATATGTGACATTGCGTATCAAACCTTGAAAAACTGGATACACTGCTTTGTCCTTCCTGATAGGATTTTGAAAAATCCGTCTTAATCCTGGTTAGTTGAAGCTCAACCCCCGAATCAAGCTGAAATTGCACGGAGTTAACAGCTCCGGTAGATCCAACCCTTGGACGAACTGTGAGCACTCCCCACCCTAGTCGTAGTCATCAACAATTGCAACATATAACTAAAACATCAACAATATATTATAAAATGTAGAACTAAAAACCGGAAATACCTATTAGTCAACATGTTCCCAAAATGCGATGTTTTCTTGGGTTAAGTAATGGGCTTGCCTTGTTGGATCATAAAAACTCTTGACATCAAGAAAATGTGCGAAGTGTTTGTGCTCATAATAGTTCTCCCTGTAGATATCGAAAATTTGAGATAAATTACTAATTAATAACCAAGATAAATCGGTTATTAATTTAGGTCTCAAATTAAAGTCCATAACATATTTGGGCTTTAGAATGTCCGGCCCACTGTGCAAGTCGAGAAACCCTAACCCTAGCTTGTGCCTATAAAAGAAGATCTTTGGTGCATCTAAAAAAACAGACTCACACAGACACATATCGAGCTCTCAAGCTCACGTCTCGAGCCTCCGCCTCGAATTCATAACATATTTGAATTCGAGAGGTTCGTGATAGGAAATCATATGTTCAATTCCTCGAATTCATAACATATTTAAATTCGAGGTGTTCGTGATAGGAAATCATAGCTTCGATTCAAGAACAAGCTTTTAAGCCCTTGAATCAAAATTAGAATAGGAGAGAAGAATCAGGGGAATTACTGAGATTGTAATCCGCATCGTTTTGATTAATAAATTATTTGTTCCCTATTTTCTTGTCTTGTATTTTTATTATATTTTGCAGACTCGAAAAATTTGTGGTTAACACTCCCCCTTTACTGTGTTGGTAGTAGCTTAACCAAATTTGTTTTACGTCCTACTGTTTTTTATTTTTTTCCATCAAGCTATCTTTTACCCTTATTATGTTTTCCTTTGGGTTTTTTATTAGGAGTTGAATGCAATTAGTACTCTGGTGTTACATCCAATTGCTAAAAAACTATCCCGTGTTATTTTATTAGTAAAATGTAAAATTCCGATATATTTTTGTATTTTTAGATTGGATATTACTAGGGTTTATGAGAATTTGGGAATAAGAAGAGTAGAAGGATAGAGAGAAGGAGACGAGAGAGAGAGATAAAATTCTGAAAATTGATCATGCCTTTCTCATTCCTTCACAGCACCTTATAACAAACTGCTGACAAATCAAGTACTGAAATAATTAAATAAAAACATAAAATAAGGAAAATGACAAAACATAATAATAATTTTAGACTAGTAGGTTCAGGTGTTGTCTGTCCAATTAAGTCATCCGGGTCCCTCCTTTTCCAGCCCAGCAACAATCTGCAGGCCCACTCCTTCATTCCTTCTTGGCCCAACTATATCAATTGTCGATAGCTCCACTAATCCTGAAACGACGTCGCTCGATCGGTTCAATCCCCCTTTCTTCCAATTTCGCCCTAATCCTCGATTTCTTCCTTGATTTCTTAGATCCCCATTTCAGATCCTCTGTGAACGTGACACAAAACACCCCGTGATTTAGTTTTTTTTTTTTGCAGTTAGTACCCCTCTAACTCCCGGTCAGGGGTTGTACTTGTGTGCTAACAAAATTTGAATCATAAATAATACAGAAACGGGTACTAATTGCAATAAACCCTTTTTATTAAAACAAACTTAGAGGGAAGGTAATGCATATTGATAGTTGCAAAATTTAGAGTCAATGAAAATTATTTGTAATTATACTATTTTGAAGGGGTCTAGATGTAATTAGTCAATTATAATTTATAACCATTAAACAACAGACTGCACCTTTGTGCAACTTCATTTTGCACTGCAGTAGAATTTTCTTCACAAAAATCGATTTAAGAAGATGAGAATTTCTGCAATAGCGCCTCCTATTCGTAGAGCAATTTCTGCTAAATTTTCATAGCGTGCGCCACAAAGATAGACTTTTTTCACCTAACCTCCGAAGAGATTTGAGCTGTGCAAATGAAGTAGATGAAGCTATTTTCTTGTTTCGCAAAATGGTGAGAATGCGGCCGCAGCCCCCCATTTTTGAATTCACCAAACAATTGAAAGTTATTGTCAATTTGAAACAATACTCGGTTGCCCTCAAACTGTTCGACGAAATGCGTGAACTGGGTGCCCCTGTAAATGAGTACACAATGACCATCTTGATTAATTGTTGTTGCCTTTTGAAACGTGTAGACGTTGGTTTTGCTATCTTCGGCGTCTTCTTTAAACACGGTTACGAGCCAGATGTTACGACATTCACCGCTCTCCTAAAAGGGCTCTTTTTAAATGGTAAGGTGGCCGAGGCGGAGAAATTGTTCAAGAAGCTTTTGACTTCGAAAATTTGCGAGCCTAACGAAGTTACGATTCTTACTGTGATAGATGGGCTCTGCAAAACTGGACATGTTCTTGCTGCCCATGATTTGCTTTTCTTATTGGAAAAGACTATTTATAAACCCAATGTTAAGGCTTATAATGCGGTAATTAATGGCTTATGCAAGACTGAAATGGTGGATAATGCACTCGAGCTCAAGTCTAGAATGGTTGATAAGGGCATTTCACCTGACGTTGTCACATATAACTCCATGATTCAGGGCTTGTGCGATTTTGGTAGATGGAAAGAGGTCAAAGACTTACTGAATGAAATGGTGAATCACAAGATTCCGTTAGATGTTGTTACTTTTACTGTATTGGTGGACGCATTTTGCAAGGAAGGAAATATTAAAGAGGCTGAGGATGTTTTGAAAATTATGAAGCAACAAAATATTCGTCCTGATATTTTCACGTACAATGCGTTGATGGATGGGTATTGTTTGCAAGGGAAAATGGAAAAGGCGAAACAAGTATTTGATTCTATAACGGGCGACGGCCTTAAGCCATGTATACGGCACTTTAATCAACGGATACTGCAAGAAGGGTAAAGTTGATGAAGCTTGGCGTCTTTTCCTCGAAGTTTCTTCGAAAGGCTTAGAACACACGACAGTTACTTATAATACCATGATACATGGATTATTTAGTGAAGGCAGAATTGCCGATGGATGGAAACTATTCAACTATATGGAAGCTCGGCACGTACGTCCAGATTTACATACTTGCAATATTTTGTTGGATAGTTTGTGCAAAACTCATCAGATTGCCGAAGCATTTTCGTTTCTACGGGTGATGGAAGACAAAGGATTAATTCCTAATATAGTCACATACGGTATCTTGATTAATGGTTTGTGCAACGATGGGAAACTTGAAGAGGCAAAAAAGCTTTTAAAAGAACTTCCGTCCAAGGTTTGCAACCAAACTGTCAAGCTTATACAGTTGTTATCGATTCACTTTGTCAGGATGGATTTGTCGACGAGGCAAAAGATTTGCTTATAAAAATGGAGAGAAGCGGTTGTGTACCGAATAGCGTGACATACAACGTCATTATCCATTGCTTGTTGAAGAAGAAAGAACTTGACAAGGCAATGCCATTCTTAGAGGAAATGAACAAAAGGGGATTCTCAGCCGATGAAGCTTCATGTTAATTAATCACTTGCAAGGATCAGAGAAATATGATTTTCTTCTGGATATGATTAAGAAAGTTGTGCCGAAATTATAAATTATATATTTGGACTTCTGAAGTTTGATAAGGTTTTGCTAGTTTTTTTTTTTTTTTTTTTTTTTTTTTTTTTTTTTTTTTTTGTAAGAAGAATAGTTATTGGTTCCCCAATTCCCCTCCTGGTGTCTCGAGCCCATGACCAAACAGATCTAGGTGCAAGGTGTTTACCAACATGCTACCTTGTCATAAGGTTTTTGATAAGGCTTTGCTAGCTGGTCGGTCTGGTCTAACTTGTGAGTTTTGCCTTTGTGCACAGGCATTGTAATCCTTCAAAGTATATTTTGTAGGACAAAATGCACTTCACCCCTACAAATTTCCCATTTTCGCACTTTCTGTTGGCCGAAAACCTACACGCAAGTGCACGTATCGTACAAGTAATATAGTGGACTAAAAGTCCGGATATCGAACCCACAGGGAATATTTAATTATCTAATCCTAGACGCTAAATTCTACCAATTATTATCAAGCCCACCCTACACAGTCGAAAGATGATTAATAAACTAAATTAAACTAAATCAATTAAAAAGACAAAAACAAGAAAGCAATTAAAACGAAGATTTATCAGAGTAAACGAGCCTAGGATTTTATTCTTCCCCCTATGTGATTATTACTCCCCCAATTCCTTCAATTATGCAAGCAATTAACCTGGATTATTAACCTGAGATGCTAAAATAATCATAACCCGCTTCCGCGTGTATTACGATTCTAATACTCTAGATTCAATTACTATATTCCTATGCAATTAATTCTAGAACACGGCATTAAGCACAAATCTCAATAATGGCTACCTAAGAGATTAACTATATTCCTATGTTAATACCACAAAGGCTCTTCTACCACAGTTCTAATTATTAACCCGATCTTCCGATTCATGCGATTAACAATAACATAAAAGCACATAAGTTGATCAAGTTCATGCACTTAATAAAGCAAGTAGAAGAAATAATCCGGAATTAAAGCTTGCATAAAATCATAGAAAAGGGTTCACAAATCCCACATAGGGTTCCAAATAAAATCCTAGAAATAAAGACTTAGCTACTCGTAATTCTTATGATAAATAAAATAAAATAAATAAATTAAATAAGAAAAACTATACTTGAATCTTCGTTGATCTTCTTTGCTTTTGATTTTGCGTAAACAGATAGATCCTAAATTGTGTGCTTGGCTTGGTCTTATATAGGGTGAAGAACTTGGGGAAGAAGGCAGTTTCCTTGTGCAATTAAAATCCCTTTACTGCGCTGTTTCGGGGTCTCGGACGGCCGTCCCATAATTTGAACTAAAACTCGGACGGCCGTCCGAGCTTTAAATCTCCAGATTTTGGTTTTTTTCACTTTTGGCCCATATTTTCTCCAAAATTGCAGTTTTGACCCCATACTTTTCCAATTCTTCAATTTATACCTGAAATACAATAAATCAACTTTTTAAGCACCAATTATCGTTAAAACACGCCAAAAGCTCAAATAAGAAGATACAATAAAGTGTAAAAATATACACTTAACACACCCCCAAACTTGAACTTTTGCTTGTCCTCAAGCAAAATTTACCAATAAGCAAATAACTCAACGATAACATCTCATCACATAGATCAATAACCAACTTCACGTTTTCAGAACTTGTAATTATAATGACAATTCTTAGGCATTCGCATGCTCAAAATTCAACAACACTTAGTCACTCACCATTACCAAAAACCACAATTCATACAATTGCTTCAAGCATCCAATATTTGCAAATTAAAGATAGAAAAAATTTATACTTACATGCATATGCTTGACTCCAAATACTCACCAAATTATTCTACTCTACTAATATCGAATATTAAGCTATTGGGATCATTGGGGCTTTGTGGCTTTCAATTGTTAGGCTCTTTGGTTCGAGGTAGAAAATATGGGTATGTGTGGCTATTCTTCTTGAATTTAGGTGATTACGCCAAAATTTGAAAGATAGGCGTTTGAAACAATGAATTCACCTCTACGGACTTTAATAAACTCGATTTTCAAAAGTTCAACAGTCTCCACTTTTGCTTTTGAGGGGGATAATTACACTTTTCGTCCCTATACATTACTACTTATACGATTTTCGTCCCTAAACAAGATGAAGTTACAATTTTCGTCCCTATACATGTCACTTTTATGTTGTTTATGTCCCTCCGTCCATTTGTCCAGTTAGTTTGGACGGAAAAATCGCACGTGCGCCGCACATGACACACAAAAGCACCTCTACACCTCAAAACGTTCAGATTATTAGTTGACCACCAAGAATTTCACAATGTGAGACGACTGTTTGAGCTTCAACTCTTCTTCCGACCGTGCCATGATGTAATAATCCACGCCGTCGGACAGGTCTCCCATCGGAATCAAGGTTGGGGAAAATCGGTCCCGCAGATCCCAAGCCTCCAGCTCGGCGAGGCGGGTGACGCAGTAGAATAGCTTTTGCGCGGCAGAGTAAACGAAGGACTGGTAATCCCTGTTGTGGAGATTTGAAGACGGAGCGCCGATGGGGATCCACTGGGTGGTGCTGCGGCGGCTGGGGCAGCAGAAGGGCAGTCTTTGTTCCGGCCCGTACGTCATCATTGCGCGGCAGTTTTCTCCGACCCCCGATGGCGGCGGCGAATCCGAGGCTCAATACTTTGTCCTCAGCGAGGCTGTAGAACTTATAGACCATGCCGCCGCCTTCAAGAGCTGGTGGTAGCATCAGCCAAGGCGAGATTTTTGACGGCAAACTCGACGGGCAATGGACGGATTCAATGATGAATTCATAAGGAATTGAGAGATTTCGAAAATTGGGGCTTAGGGTTTTCCAGAGAATTTTGATATTTATAAAATTATTCTAATAATCTGAACATTTTGAGGTGTAGAGGTGCTTTTGTGTGTCACGTGCGGCGCACGTGCGATTTTTCCGTCCAAACTAACTTGACAAATGGACGGAGGGACAGAAACAGCATAAAAGTGACATGTATAGGGACGAAAATTGTAACTTCATCTTGTTTAGGGACGAAAATCGTATAAGTGGTACTGTATAGGGACGAAAAGTGTAATTATCCCCTTTTGAGGCAATGGATCGAGTTTTCAAAAATATTTCAACAACTAGTCCTTATTTCTCCCTTCTAGTCTCTTCTTCTTCTTTTTTCTCTCTTTTTTTTTTTTTTTTTTTTTAGAAGAAATATATATATATATAGAAGCATATATATTTATCTCTTTTTTTTTTCTTTTTTTTTTTCTTCGAAGAAGAAGAAGGACCTTATAAATTTTTCGACCGAACTCCACGGGATAATTTTCAAGAATCTCCACCTATTCTACCTTACATATTGGCTAAAAGAGAGAACACCTTTTCTCCGAGGCTCAAATCAAGGTTCTAAGGATAATTTCGATAAAAAGGTCGGCTTGAAAGGCTCAAACGGTTCAAAGAAGGCCCAAATCATATCCCAAATCACTTACTACTCAATACTTCGTATCATAAATTTCCTAAGGTGAGTCTTAAAACCGAACATAGCATGATCTAGCACAAATTAATTCCAAATTTAAAATACAAAACATTCAACAAAAGCACTGCACAAAATGTGATTCCTAACAATAATTCACTTCTAAGTCCCGTTGAATCGAAAGCTAAACAAACATCAAATCCTTATCACATAAAACAAGCAATTTCATCATCAAACATTGATCATCTCTCATCATCATAAATCATAGATGCATTTGACTCAAGCAATTTTTTTTTTTTTTTTTTTATATTCCGGAAAAACGAGAAAAGCAATAAAACAAATAAAACCTACTGCATGAAAATTAAAACAAAAAATTAAAACACAAATAAAGCGCACATAAAAGAACACAAGTAGTTAACCACCCCCAAACTTAAAATTCACATTGCCCTCAATGTGATTCGCCCAAAGTTAAAGGATAGAAAACACCTGTTTAAGCGTCGGTTTTCTTGCCCTTCCCTTTGCCTTTAGAAGTGCTTTCGCCGTGTGAGGTGCCCTACCCGTCACGTCCTCGTTTCCTCATAATTTGAGAATGCCTTTCTTGAATCCTCCCTGCACAAATCAACAAGAATCCACCAAGATTAAGTAGTATGTGTGTGTAGTTGGTGAATTTTCGGTGAAATTGGTCCAAGAAAATCGAAAATTTTGAAAAGAGGGGGTTAGGGTTCGAAGTGGGAGAGAAAGAGGGGTTGGATGTTAAATTATGGAAATTGTTTTTTTTTTTTTTTCCCCGCACGGCCGTGCGAAATTTAGGTGAAAAATCCGCACGGCCGTGCCCTTTCTCAAAATTGGGCAGTAGCCTCTTCAAATTTCGCACGGCCGTGCGAGATTTAGGTGTAAAATCCGCACGGCCGTGCCCTTTTGCGATTTTGGGCAGTAGCATCACCGAAATCTCACACGGCCGTGTGAGATTCCTGCCTTTTTCTTGCACGGCCGTGTGAATAATTTCAATTAGGTCCCTGAAAAATAAAAACTTCTTATTAGTGCCCCTGAAACTTTTTTTTTTTTTTTTTTTTTAGAAAAATAAAATAAAAACAAAACTAAAAATTTAAAATAACATAAAAAAATAAAAACGAAAGCTCGGGTTGCCTCCCGAGAAGCGCTAAGTTTAAAGTCTTCAGCCGGACGTTACTTCTTTATTTTCAAGCAAAAGTGACCGAAGTCACTTGGCATTCTTCACTCGCTTCCCAATACGATTTGAGCCGGCTCCGCTTCATTGAACGTATGATTTGAATCGCGCTCCTTTATTTTGACCACCTCGTGAGGAAGAATTTCTTGGACAATAAACGGCCGCGACCACTTTGATTTGCGCTTCCTTGGAAATAACCAAAGACGGGATTTGCACAATAACACCAATTGTCCTTTGTGCAATTCCTTTTTGATTTTCTCCTTACGACCACAATAGCTTGACTCATCCTTCTCTCGTGACTTGCTCGAGCCTTTGGGTG